CACAGTATTAATTTTTTCTTCTTACGTTTGGGATATTTCAATGTAAAATAGAAAAAGTCATAACTAATATGAGATCCACTGTAATATGATAAATAAATATTTTATATAGTTGTTATTTAATATCTATATTGCATATATGTAGATAAAATTTTTAAATTTGATGTGACAATTTACGATTCTACGTCGGATATTTTAACATACATGTTCAAATGTTTTTACATATAAATTTTTAATACTTGCACCATGTCACATTTTACACATATACTCTATTATGATGGAATTTATGTACACGTTAAGAAAACATTTAACATATCTTAATTAATCTTATATTATTTTATATCCTTATGTAATTCTAAAAATTACAAGTGATCATTAAATTATTTGGATTGAGTATCTCATTCCTAATAGAGATCTCCTAATTTAATTTGTAAAAAAATTGATCATTCACAAATTTGACGTGAGCTAGAGTAAAGGGTTAGTTAAGTAAACATGTCATTCTTTTTTAACAAACAATGAGTACTTCGATTTCTAAATTTCATACTTTTATTTAATTTATTTTATAATATATTTTCTTAAATAATAAATATAATATAGATAGAGGTAGATAAAAAATAATAAAGTTGTATTTATCATAAATAACGTAATTTATTCAATTAAAATAGATGTATTTTCTAAGAAAAAATATCATCTAAAATTTTTTGGGATGATCCTTTATATCAAAATGAAATTAATTTCTAAAACGTTGAATAACCTTTACAACTAGGTCTGAGCATGGGACTCAAACGCCGATCCGTTCCGAAAGTCGAGCCACAATCACTTCAAACCGAAAAATATCCATTGACTGTTTGACTTTCTCTGAACCGAACCGAACTGAAAAACTAATTGATACGGTTCTGGAGATTGTGCAAATATCCATACCAAGAACCGAACCGAACCGTCTCATACTGTACCGAACCGAACCGAAAAAACAAATTGTATTGAATTATAATTCTAACTGATTACTAAATTTAATTAACTTTGCGAAAAATGATCAATATTTCACGTAATTTTTTCATCATTATCTCACTTATTTTGCAAAAAAATGAAATGTTGAGATCTATTTTGTTAATAAAAAATTAAAAAATGCGTGGACCAATTTATAACTAAATACACGTGGATAG